CTTCTCTCTCTCTCTCTCTCTCTCTCTCTCTCTCTCTCTCTCTCTCTCTTTCTCTTCACGCTTTTTTCTGATATTATTTTCTTTTCAGTCATTCAATTAGCTTCGGTGCATTCTATAGCTGTATTAGCCACATTTGTGTAAACATTAATCAACGGAGAGATGATAAAACGCGTGTTAGAGGCGTAATTAATTTTGTCATTGCCCTCGAAAATTTAAAAAATTGCTTGCCTTTTTGATGGCCATGCTTCTAAAATCCTGGAACGGTGTATTTTACCCTACTTTACCCTTAACATTTGATTACGTGCTCTTGTTTGTTTGCCTCATTGCCCTGCCTGATCAATTAGTGATCTAGCCGTCGTTGAAATACAGCATTCATAGAGACAGCCATTAAATCGAAGTTATTTCTATGATTTCTATATTCCAAGAATTGTAATTTTTTTCCTAGAAAAAAAGAAACAAGAAATATTTTGATTGAAAATTTATCATACAAATTGTTATATTATTATTGCGTTTTATTTGTATTATTATATTGTTACTTTATTATATAAATCTGTGGAGATAAGAATCAAGATAAAAATTTTAGCACTCTTTCTTTACGTTAGATCATTTTGTAAGTTATTCTCTTCTTTTCCAAATGATAAAAAGTATTAATATTGTGTTTAATATTCGATTATAATGGCTCAGTTATATGATCGACTGCTTGAATACGCAGTTTAAATTCCAAATTCGAATTTGTATGACGATGTTTTCCATTGCAACTTGTATAGTTCGGAGCATCGGAAGCTCCATTCGGGTTCACCCCCATCACTTTCCAATCCCTTTTTACTTACTTAGGGCCCTTTATTCTCGTAAGTTAGATGGAGATTAGTGTGGGGGGAGGAGAGGGAGAAACGCCAGCGAGAGTTCATAACTGTGAGAATAAAAGTAGAATTAAGTAGACAAAAGGGTGGATAGGTTGGAAAGTGATGAGGGGCACCCGAGTGGATAGCTTTCGGTGCACCTAACCGTACGATTGTCGCGATTTAACGCGAACACACGAGAAGCGTAAAAAGGAACCCGATCAGGATTGCACGACAGTTCCCACGATCCCTTCCGTTTCCCCCATTTAATTAAATTAAAAAAAAAAAAAAGAAAACACCAACAAAAATGCATCGCGCTGCGAGACATCGTCGGGAGGAGCCACCCGCAGTTGCCCCCGCACCGAGATAAGACTGAGGAGATCGACTGATGAGAGCCTCGGGCTTGATATATATATACACAGTACCACGGGGGGTGACCGGCAATGCGGCAGCAAGACTGTCGTTAGGAGCCGCGCGGCGTCCATCCAGCCACGTCAGCAGCGCTTGAGGAGCTACGGCGTTTCCGCTGCGCACGGGGACGGCCAGACGTTGCTGCCGATTAGCAGCAACAGCAGCAACAGCCAGCCGGCCGCCCATCGGCACGTTAACAGCTCGCAACAGTACAGCTCGACATCCGAAATCCAATCACGCCGCGTGTCCTTCCTTCCATCTCAACTTCCATCACCTCAACCTCGACCTCGACCGCCGTGAACGTCGTCAACAACAGCTACTCGCACGATTCTCATATTCACCAGCAAGGTATGAGAACGATAAGGCTGGTGGCTTCGTCGAAGTCACGCGCGGCGCGGTAAGAGAGAAAATCAGGTAAAAATAAAGCCGCGGAAGGGTTGAAACACCGAAGTTCAAGCGTGATCGTGATAGTTGGCTGGCGAACAAGTAGCGCTACATAGGCGTTGTCTTGTGCCGTGTTGTGTTTCGCTCACAAAAAAAAAAAAAAAAAAAAAAAAAAAATTGAAAAGTGCTGGAATTAATTGAGCAGAAATTTATTAGCAAATGATTGACAGTCGCAAATTATTTTGGAAGCGCTGTATTGAGCTACGTATATGTTGTATTGCTATCGAAGCTAGCAGCAGAATGTGATGTAGCGCATAAGAACCGAGCATTGATAGTCAATATATGCAGGGTATTCTAAGCATATTACTACTTTTTTTTATTTTTGCAGTCAATTTGTGAAATATACTTTTCATATTTTTTAATATTTCTCTTCTAACACTAAATATTTTATTAAAAAACGGAAAATAATAAATTACAATTCGGCAGTTTAAATTTAAAGAGAAGAGTAAGACTTTTCGTTTACTTACATTTTCCAATTCACAAGATGCCTTTATTTTTTGTCATTTTTAAATGCCATTTAAAAAGAACCTAGAATATCCCCATTTTTTCTTTCTTTGACCCTTCCTCTCTTCCGCCCTCTTCATCCTTCTCTCCATCTCCCCCTTTTCTCTTTCTCTTTCATACTTTTCATAGAAGAGAATTTGTGCTTTTGAATTGACAAAAAATCTAGAATGAAAAATATAGCGATATTGATCAAGTACCCTGTATATCGAAAGCACGTGCGTGCAATGAGGAATGTATCTTTGCAAAACTCTAAGTCTCTTCGCATCTTCTTATCCGTAGCTCGTAGTGATTTGTTTAGTATCCTGTCATATGAATGTTTCTGGTATTCGTGAATGTTTCAAATAATTTTTTATATTAATTATTTATATCGTTCGTGTGCGCCATGAAACTTTTTGGAATGAAGCATTGCGATATGAGTCATGTTGTTTGATATTAAATGGAACAGTTACTGTTATAATTAAGTTTCGTTGATTACATTTTTTGTAAACAAACGGGCAATCCTATGATGATCAATTATATATCTCATCAGAAAATTTTTCATTACACTATAAAATATCAAGAATTTATATTGCCATGTAATAATGGGAAATAAGTGACTTTCTGCGATAGACATAAATTTGATACTTTTGCCTGAAAATTTTCTAAAAATGTATAACAAGAATTGAAAGTTTGTAAGAAAAACAACATAATGCAATTTAAAATTTATATGCATTAAGAAAGGTCACACATTTTTATTCCAAATTCAATAGTAATAAATTGAATTTATGAGTTTATTTGAAATTGGTATTAAAAAAAATAAAATAAATATTTTGATATAAGTTTGATATATAACTTGAAATGCAACAATAAATCTTAAATTTATTCTATATTATGTACTATTTAGCTGAAATATACGTGAACAGAATAAATATGAAAAAGAACAATTACATATTTTTGTAATTCTTCTTTGGGATTGCACGTTAAAATTAATAAAGAACGTCAAAGAGCGCAGTAATGTTGGAAATGTTCCATGCGATTTTTTTGTCGAGTCAGTGAAAGAAAAACGCGTTCTGCATGCTAATTAAGATCTTTAGTTAACAGTTGTTAGAATCATAATGAGTAATACAGTTTTCATTTGCAGGTGGAGCAGGAGACACAGGCATGGTTCGTCAGACGGATCGTCGCGTGATGTGATCGATTATCGTACCGGTTATATAAAATCGCATCTACGTTCACCCTCGGGCAGGGTTCGGTGACTAAACACACTGAGAACCGAAGCAATAATTAAATTATGGCAGACATATATGTATATATAGATTTCTTTAGCAACGGCGATGGTCAAAGTTATAAACGCGAATTTGACCAGCGGATAAATTTTCCATAAATCAATTTAAATTTTCTGAATTTTTTAAAACTTTTTAATGCCTTGCTAATGATGTATCGTTTCATGAACATCAGCTATTTTCATAGTTTAATCATTTCTTTGTTGCTAATAATTTTAACTTCGGCACGAGACGAAAAACTAGTTAAATAAGCGAACGCAAATAAAAAAATTTGCTCCAAAACGAATACTTTTTAATCGTGTACTTTCTTAAGTATTTTTCAATTTACTTAATAATTTATTAAAAAATGTATTAAACGTCGTAACGAGACACCACCGGAACCAAACTTCTTCAGATATGTAGGGAAGTTCAGAAGAAACTTGCTATTATATAGTAGTAACGTAAGAAAAAAAAAACTTTTTGCAACTGCTAAAATTTCCACTAATTCAGTTTTTCATATAAACTATTAGAAAAATTAAACTCAAACAGATTTGTGAAATCTGAAGAATAAGATTTTAATCTGATAAAGTAGAAAGAATCATAGAAGACATACTAGTAATAATTTTAGATCTTTATTTAAAAGTCTTATCATAATTGATATCATCATTGATAAAAAATTACGAATACGCGCAATACGTAAAGACAATCAGAAATAGCGGACTAGCTCTGATAAATGTTGTTTTTCCTATATCGCGCATTGATTTGTACAGATATCATTTACAGCAAGTATTTTCTGTTGTGATAAGCGTTGATACACTGTTGTTTTGTTACAATATTGTCATATTTACAACGACTCATAAAGAAATTCTTATCGGTATTAGTGTAACATTACAGGGTTGACAATTTTACCTACATTACAAAAAAAACTTATAATAAATTTTAAATCTTTACCATAGTGTTCTAAATTAAAGATAGAAACTAAAACGATGATGTCGAATTTTGTGACAACTATAATCTATAAAAAGAGAAATATTTAATAAACTAGGAAGACTCACAGTTCGTGGCAGCTCAATTAAAAATATATCACATTCCCCTATTATTTTAAATTTCAAGAGATAAAGTTAATGTAGAGAAATATGACGATTGTTATATATAAAGATTGTGATGAGTTTAGGATTTGTTTATGATGAAACTTCAGAAGAAAAAAATACAAGTTAAGTCTTAAATACTAGTTATGAATATATTTTTATAAGCTTCACATTTAGAAATTTTCATAGAATTATTTCATTGATAATTTATTATTATATTGTGCATACACTATATAATTTTGTACATAATTTTTAGATGTATTTAATTTCGTGATTAATTGAATATTTGAATCATAAAAAAAATATACTGTATATTGAGAAGCTTTACTTTACGTATATATATTGTAAATTACACAAAAGTTAATAGACAATGGTCATATAACAACCGCAGTGTCATACTTATTGTTGTAATACTTATCATGAAGTAAACTACAACAGATTTTAATTTAACATTGGCATACAAAGTATGGAAGCATTGCGAATAAATAAATGTGGTGAATGTCAATAATAAATATAGTTAATTAAAAAAATATTTACTAATACCATTTTTAGATGATTCTATTCCATGAAGTAAGAGTAAGGAGACCCAACTGCACAGATTGAAAGTAGCAAATGTTTCGTATATTGTCAGGTTTGCCAAATAGAATAATGTGCAACATTTTGTCACCACCTTGAAATTGTAAATGGATGCATTGTATTACAAACGCTCACTGAGCGGCTAAGTAGTAATCGAATGTGATTGATTTTTACCTTTGAATCCATGTGCAAGAGCCATAAGCGGAGCATCATTCAGCGGAAAATCTAGTAACGTTGCCCAACTGTTGAGTTCGCTGAATGCCACCAATATGTGCGATGGGACGCCACCTTTAGAGTTCAATTTCCGGCTTCACTTTTGTTATACTTCTGAGATCTTTCTTTAAAGTCTTTGAGTCTCTGATCGTTACCTATTAGATATATTTATGAAATATAGTCATATTAATGCATTATATTGCATAAAAAGTGTTTCGAAAGGGACAGATATCTATAAAAAAAGAAGGGAAAAAAGTATAGCTTTATCATAACAAAATTTATACTACAATTGAGATCTTGTATCCAGTTTATTGGATATTACAAACCTTGTTTTTCCAAAGAATTGTAGGATTATATTACATTAAAAATGGTAAGCACATAGTTTCTTAATTTTATGCAATTTTGAGTATAACTGTATTGCAAATTTTATTACTTATGAAATATATATTTTTTAGGCTCAAGAAGTTGAAGAAACCATGAAACGAATTCAATCTCATAAGGGTGTAGTTGGCACAATAGTTGTTAATGCAGAAGGTACAGTATATAAAAATTAACATCGTCTGTTTATGTGATTATAAAGAAATTGTCATAAAATTACATTTATTTTATAGGTATTCCGATTAAATCAACATTAGATAATACAACAACAGTTCAATATGCAGGCTTAATAAGTCAATTATCTGACAAAGCTCGTTCTGTTGTGCGTGATTTGGATCCAACAAATGATTTAACTTTTTTGCGCATACGTAGCAAAAAACATGAAATTATGGTTGCACCAGATAAAGAGTTTATATTAATAGTAGTACAAAATCCTGTTGATTGATTCAAAAGAAACACAGCTTTATTAAGAGAGATTGCAAAATTAACACATTTCTTTGGATATTAATTTATTATGTACACTGCATTTCATTTTAATATTTAATCAATTAGCTAATGAAAAAATAAAGCTTAAATCTTATATAATGTAATAATATTTAATTATTAAGCTAATTTAGTGAATTATAAATTTTAAGATCTTTAAAACGTTTCCTTTTTTAGCAAATATTTTATGTTTCCAAATCAAATTGGATTATGAATAAATGCTATATTGATCATTCCTAACATATGTTTTTATATTATTCAATATACTTGCATATGTATGTTTCATTATATTTTGTTTATTATTGTATGTTATCGCAACATTTTATTTTTTAATTCAATTTTTTTTGCATACTAAGATATATTTCACCATTTACATCTTATAGTGCACCAATATAATCATACAAGATTTAAGAACATAAAGTAATATAAAAAGTCGAAGAATTAAAAAATGACAATGTGGAATAAGAAGAAATAGGAAAAATCAAGTTATTTGAATCATATTTTATAAATAAAGAGTATTTATTTTTTTCAATTATTTTGCTGGGAAAGAATGTTGAAAGACTACAATATATATGTATTTTACTTATGTAATTTAATACATCATAAAATGTGTACAAAGATTTGTAAAATATATACAAGATATATGATATTAAAATAATGTGGCAAGTAACTTGGCAGAGTAATAATTAGAGACAAATACTAAAAAATATAAATTTTGACATACCAGTTCATACAACGCACGCATACACACACATTCACATGTACAAACGTACATATAATGTATTGTATTATAGAACTATTGTTCTGTTACTTCAAAATTACCTATGATAATCTTTTAATATAATTCCCACATAAAAAAGGCAAATATTTTTATAAATATGTAGGTAAATTAATTTTTTTTGCTACTTGTGCTTATTTTGTTCGAAATATTTAATCCAATATTGTAAAATAAGTCTTTTGAGTATTGACATTAGATTTATCACATAATTATGTTTAAAATGATACAATAATACATTGATGTAACATTTTGAATTCACAAATTACATAAATGTCCCTGAGATGTTACTTATTTCCAACCTGAATTAAGGAATATTTAAATAAACATTTTCTTATATTGAAAACTTCAGTACAAAAAATATTTTGTAGGAATACAATATATAAGCTATTTTATTTTACAAAACTTTTAAAAGTTGTATGCTAAAAACTACAAACTATAAACTTTAATAGAATTGTATATAAAATTGACATCTGAAAATTTGGAATGTAATATATGTATAAATACATAAAAAATATTACATGTGTGTTGAGATTCTTCATACAAAATATAAAATGTCCTTACAAATGATAATGTAAAATTGTATTGCTTACTCTATTTTAAGTAAGAACATTTAAATTTAAACATCTAAATTTATGCTATTTGAAGGGATGCACCTGAGGTACGAGGTTGCTTTTTTGAAGGATGAAACGTGTAATACATAATCATTGCTGCAATCCCCACAAAGAAGAAGATAACTCCAAAAGCGAAAAACACATTAAAGTACCAAGCATTTCTAACTGCGAGAGAAGAATTGAATCGCCACAATAAGACTGACATAATATTTTCCAAGAAGCAAAGCACATAAAAACAAAAATGCTTCCAAAATGTGTTTCCATCTACGGCATTTAAGTATATGAAAATATGAACTATGCCGATAACTCCGGCAAACAATATAGAATAAAAGCGTTCTTTCAACGTTGGTTGCATATGCGGTGGATGATTGTAAGTTCGACAAAACTCTAATATTCCATGGGAATCGATTAAGATCCATATTGTCATACATATCCAATGTGTAATGCAACAAATTATTGTATAGATAGGCCAGATACTTGCAATAACACTGATTGATAAGATTCTTGCCACTGTAATCATGATGATAATATATGAATTTCATTCACCCCATCTCTTTCAATCTCAAACATTAATTTACATATTCATTATTGAATATATACCTGTAATGCAAAAGTGCCATAGAAATTGTAAAACAATTCCTATAACACCAATATTTGATTTATCTTGTTGAGCTAATCGAATGCTACGATGATAACTAGCCATTGCCCAACCCATACTTGCAAGCGAGCTGACAATGCTACCTACTTGATGTATAACTGGAAATATAGAAATATATTAAAAGAATTATAAAATACAAGATTAAAATAAATTAATATTAATATTAAAACATATTCAAAATGATAAATACACTCAAAATTAATTTCAGCATGGTAATACTTTAACATTAAAGTTAATTGCAGAATTTGTTGCGGTGCAGCTTCCAAAAAACATTCAAATACTCTTAGTAATGCAACATCTTCATCTTCTTTGAGCATTTTCACATAATATCGCCTTTCGCCAACACGATCCCCAGACTTCTTGTATTTGCGTGCTTTTAATGCATATTTCAAAGTATCGTAATAATGTATAACTGGTGCTAATTGTAAGATTACAGCAACCGCAAAATACAAATTATTTTTAATCATTAAGCGTATTGTCTTGTTATCCTCTAATGGATCCATGCCGGAATTTATCTGCACCAAGGAACACACGTTGTTCAGATAATTATCAACCATTACATGGAATCAATGATATAATTTAATTAGTTAATATAGATATATTGTATAAGTATAATCTACTTCACTTCTTTATCTTGACGTTGCATCCTTTTACTGACAATGACATTTATCAGAGATGGAATGATGATAAGGCAAATTGTCCAAGCAAAATATGTTATTTTGCCAGTCAAAATGTATTGAATAGCGATGTTATAATCAAAACACATATCCACAATGTGCATAAATATGGAAGAAGCCAAAAGGAAGACATCCAATTTGGAAATGCAAGGAGTATTAGGCGGTACATCCACATTGTCAGTATCAGAATGGATAACTGGAAATATATTAGTGAGGTAACGAAAGTGCTTGCGATTTTCTTCTCCCATGATTTCCACTTCACGTCACAATTTCATTACAATATATATATATATAAATTATAGTTCAGATAAATCTGTACACTTAAAGAAAGATATTTTTTCTATTTCTTTCATTCTACATTACAAATAACTCAAAAACACATTCTTGCTGTCATCCTTTTTGTGGAGCATTGTGGAGAACTAAAACCATTGAACTTTACAAACTAGAAAGCTCCTTCCCATCAGAGCTGCCAGATTGAAGACCCGAGCAACGAGCAACCGGATGCACACACAAGTGAGAATCGCGTACGTGTGCTGCGCAAAGCACTCTGCGCAGCCATGGACGAATAATGGATCCATGATTTTTAGACAAAACAAATCTAATTTTTATTTCAAGTTAACTTAATGACTGCGTTCAGCAAGCGCTGTGATACTCAACGTGTTTACTGATGTAAAACGTAAGCATTAAAATAGCGTACCCTAAAATAGCGTTCAGCAAACCACTCTCAACTGTTGCAATGCATCACTTATTGAGCGCTTCATTCTGCTGAACGCAGCCACAAATACGAATTAATTATATTAATATTATATATTAAATACAAATATCCAATTTAAATAAGAACGCAATTATGTTATTTCATCGCAACTCGATAGTAAGATTTATACCACCTTTGGCTGTGAGCACAATAGGCGCTTCCTCGAAAGATAGCGGAACTGGAGTTTGTGGATGAAGTGTGAACTTGAATTTTGACAGAAGACTTATAAGACCAACCTTTGTTTGTATGTAGCCAAATCTTGTACCTGAAAATTAATAATACTGATGTATCAACAATGGCAAAATTAGATAAAGATGAAAAAATTGCTGTGATCATCACATAAACAAAACATGAATAATTAATATAAACGTAATTTTGAAACTTATAGCAACTCTGATAAACGGGATCATTCTTACCAATGCAAACTCGTGGTCCTTCCCCAAAAGGTAAATAAGCGTAAGGATGCCTGGCTGCTACTTTATCAGCATTAAATCGCTCAGGATCAAACTTATCTGGATCCGGATATATTGAAGGATCACGATGCAATCCGAACACAGGTATTGTAATTAAAGTTCCTTCTGGCACATGAATATTCGTTGTTGGAAGCTTTATGTTTTTAGTGCAAACTCGATTCAAGACGGGTACAGGCGGGTATTTCCTCATAGTTTCTGCAACGTGTAAAAAAATATAAAAGTATATTTTCTGGTATACAAAGAATTATTATCGAACATGTTTCGTTAAACATATGGAAGAATACTTTTATAATAAAAAACTTTTTCAATACTTAATTTATCAAAAATTACACGTACAAAAATAACAATCACACTCACCATTTATGACTTTATGAAGATATGTCATGTCGTTTACCGCATTGTAGTTTAATTCACCGTGTTTTTTTAACATTTCGTCAATTTCCTTACAAACTTTATTCTGTAGGTCCTGATTTTGAGCTAACTCGTATAGACAATACGTCGCTGTAGTTGATGAAGTTTCAAAACCAGCCAAGAAGAAGACATAAGCTTGCGCAGCAGCTTCTAGTATAGTGAGTTTAGTCGCAGTTGCTATATATAAATAAAACTTTTTTTAGTGCATATCTCTCATCCTTTGGTAATATTCGTATATAAACATAAAAATCGATTTTTTTAAAGGAGTTCTATCTATTAGAGTTTATAAATACTGTTCAGAAAATTAGAGGCATAATACCAAAAATCATCAAATTTACTGAATTTTCAGTATGACGTGAACATTTTAACCAAATATTTGTGAAGTCTATTGCACTGTAACCTATTATTACCCCTATTACCAAAAATAATAGATGTTAAACTAATATAAAATATATATTTACAAGATTCATTATTGATATCCTTTTCATCATCAGGTTCAACATAACCCTTTTCCATGAGTTGTATAAGTAAGTTCATAAAATCATGCCTGATAACATTATGAGTTTGCCTGTATTCCACATTGTCTCGAAACATTTTCGTAAAAAAGTTACTAACACCTCGGTCGTTAAAAGGGATAGAAAAAAAATCCATAACTTGGGGCGCAAACATTAATATAGCATTCCAAAAGGGTTTTTCTTCAAAGACCTTTTTTCCCCAATATCGGAACTCGTTATCCGGTTGGCTTATACAGTCAGATTTGATTCCAAATGCCGCAGACATAATTATATCCGTTGAATACCTATAATTAATATAGATTATTTAATAAATTTTTTCAACATACATAAAGAGTAAGTAATTCTTTTTCATAATATAGACAGTATTTATACTCCTTGTTATTTAAATATTTTTTTAAAAGTTTTTTATAAAATCGAATAATTTACCTTGCAAAGATATCCTTTATCTCGATACAATCTTTCGTTTGAGCTTTACTTTCTAGACTTTTTGCGAATTCTTCACTGCATTCCTTCAGAATCATGAACATTTGTTTTATCTTTCCGGAAGTAAAAGTAGGTGTCAACTTAACACGAAGATTTCGCCATTTCTTTCCAGGCAGTAAAAACAAATGGCCGGACAATGGATCAATTTTCTCATTGCAGTACATTCCACGATCATGAAAACTACCGAAATCCTTCGTCAATACCGTTCGGATAAGATCGAGATCAGCAATCACCAGGTTTGGCTTGAAAAATGTATACATTCCAAAGGCACGATGGTGTTTATATTTTAAGTAGGCATCGCGGAAAAGTTCACCTGTCGACAAATCTTCCGTTCAATTACGTAATTTTAATAATAATGTTGCAAAATAAATCTCTTATTTTATAATTGTTGATTGATTCCGGAACTCGCTCTGTTTCGCATAACACAAAAGGAGAGAAGACTGCATACGTAAATGAATGCATATAATATTTATAATACTTATAATACCACGCAAAGATACTTGCCTACAGATAATTTTCCAGTCACGAAAGCAGTTAAATTACCAGCTGGTACCAAGGGTTCCACATAAAAAACACCCTTTTTGCGCCAGAAATTGAACAGTACATATTTGTAATAAATATATACAACACTCAGAGCAACAATAAGTATTCCAATTAATTCTGCAACTAACATCGCTGGTCGAGATTTTTGTCAAAATTCTGAAACATAAGTTATTTTTTTCATAAAATTTTATCATTAAAAATAAGAACGTAATAAAAACGTTTTCTATAGAGTATTCAAATTTTTTCTATATTTATACACACTATAAACAATAATCATTTTTAGAAATGTTTCATGAAATGTTTATGATTCTGCTAATTTAATTTATGATTTATGCATTCTTTATTCAATTTTACTTTAACAAAATTGTAAAACGTTACTTGTCTAACTTTGATTATTCAAAATGTTTATACGATAAAATTTGCGATAAATGATTCTTCTATATTTTCCTCAATGAAAGTTAACTAAACAGTTGGTCATTTTAATTTGTCTAACATATAGTCATTCAATTTGTATAATATACAATATATGATTTATTTAATATTATTTTAATCTATAACTTTTTTGTTTAATCATACGTGTTGAAAAGGCACATGTCTTTTTTTTATAAGATTTTAAAAGAGATTCAAATATTCTCTGTAAAGTAAATGTACCTTTTACCGAACTTGCTTCAATTACCGACCAATTTACTATTTACGTTAAAAAATAATAGCTGTTAACAGTACGATCATTAAAACTTAGTTTCAATATTACCTGTGTCGTGTAAAAGAGATGTATGTTGAAAACAATCTTCTTCCGCTGTATATGTTACAATCAGAACGTTATTATAAGACAAACACTGGATGCACACTCGTTCGCATATTTTCAACTACTGGAAGGCGTTCTGATCGCGAATATATATTACTTATATCAGGATATAGACATTTATAATAGTAGTTTACATCTGAAGTACACCAAGTCATTTTCATGTTGCATGATATGTCATAAAAATGACAAAAATATATAGAATTATCTACGTTTATTTTCATGTTGCATAAGTTAATGAATAACCTGATGATGACTTGCTCGTCTTTTTCTCGTTGTTTCTAGTTTCGAAAATTGTAGACGAGACAATTTTTCGCAGAAAAATACAATGTATGATTATATTCTATGCCACATTTTTGCATAAAATTATGCAGGTTAATTATATTTGTTATTTATTATTTTGCATTAATAAACAACAACCGGCACGTTCGGATAGAAATCTCGCTCTTTTTATGTCACAATAAAATTTATAAATTAAATAATATATATATTTTATAAAAGCTTCCTTCGATGACGAGCTTAATAAAACCAGTCTTATTAAATTCCATGGAAAATGTAGAATTATTTATTAAAACATTTATCACAATTAGAATATTAACGAATTTTAGACAAGTATATTACGTCTCCCAATACATGAATGTGCAATTCGATGAATGTTGGAAATTTACAATTGAATATAAAATGTAATCGGGCAATTTTGGGGATTAAAATTTTCGAAATTTTCTCGTAGATATTTTTACTTTATACTTACATGTAACTATGAAATAATTTTTGATTGGCCACTCCTCTTTTAGTCACAAAAGCACATTCATGATTCTGATATAACAAAAGTAGAAAGAAATGACATTCGTGAAAGTGGATTAAAAGAAAAATTATTTTATTTTTAGACATTAACATATGAATTAAAGGATGTAGTAACTTTAAAGTAAAAAAATACATTGTTATAATTACTGTAGATCGGTTACTGTTACTTAATTATTGATTTTTTGCCGGGTCGATATATCGATGTTCTCGGCTGACTGTCGCCTTTGTGGTAAGAAGGAGACAGAAGAATATCTCTGTTCTCTTTTGTACGCCGAAGTGGAGTCGAAGCTCACGCGCGAAGCTCACCGTACGCGATTCTCGCTTGTGTGTGAGCGGTCGGGTGCTCGTTGTTCGGGCTTTGAATTTAGCAGCTCTGCAGCTGTGTGTGATCCTTGGTGATCCTTCAAAATGGCTTTGTGGGACGAAGTATCATCAGGTTTTGATGCTGAGGATGAGACCATCAACTTTGGCACTCGGATAATCACAGAAAACAATGGCTCGCTGTATGAAGTGTGTACGGTAGCAACGATTAAATCCCTTGATAAGGTACTTTTCTGTCATGTTCTGTCAATTTTGATTTGACAAGGTTATACGATGAGTGATGTTTTCTCTTGATCGTTTTACATTGTAAAATATAATATAATTGTTAGCTGAAAAATAGAGAGGTGAGAAAATTAAGATACCCTTTTGAAAGTCTTGAAAATCTTCCGTAATGTAAGTTTTATTTGCAGTACGAACCGCTTTGCACAGTTTAAATGTATGTGTGACGTACGCATGCGCCGATTTGTATTGTTATAGCACGTAACTTAAATTTGATTAATTTTAACAATGTATGTCGATTAAGTCTCTATATAAATTATAAGTGATTTAGAATTTATTATGTATCTTTAAAATATTAATCAATGTGTATCTTTATCAGGTAGATCAGCAACCAAATGTTTTAGTATCTCTTCAACATTCTAAGTTTTGTGTAGCAGTTGATAAGTCTATTACAATTTTTAAAGATGAGACATGTGATGAAATATTATGTAACATCAGTTTCCCCTCCAGGATAATTTGTTATTGCATTTCTAAAGATGGTTTCTTTCTATTTGTTGTGCTTGCTACCAGGATCTTGTACTGTTTGCACTTGTTACATGGAAAAGAAATTTTTACAAAGTGAGTATTTAATATTTCTAAGTGGAGAAATATTATTCGCATTGCTAAGTGCATATAAATATATTGACAGTATCAATTTTTATTTTGTGTATTATAATCTTTGATTATAGAACTATCTCTGATAATCAAAACAATGTAATAAAAATATTTTTGAAAGAGCAAGGTGAAAAGGAAGAAGCATTTATAATTCTTGTCACAAACACTGGCGCTATTTACAGGTATTATATATCTATTACAGTATATATCTATTTATATATTCTATTATCTAGAATTTTAATTTAGTTTGTAACTGTTTAAAAAATTGCAGATTCTCCAAGTTTTATCCTAAAGCTTTAAAACTTGCAATTACCAATGAGAATGATGAGATGGTTGCAGAACATACGACAAATATTCAGTGTTCTCAGTTATTCGAGGGATTCACATCTCTGGAGGTAAATATATATTTCTTTAAAAAATTGATTATTTATGGACATTTATTATCTATGATTTGTGCTTAAAGTAAAAATTGCATATATAAAATTTTATTCTTATTTTCTACATAATTTTAAATAAAGAATTTGTTATAGTTCCTTAATGCTACAATGAATACATCATCAAAAGAATCGTCAATAACTATGGTGGGAACACATTCCATATATACTTGGCCTAGTGAACAACTCAGTGAATTTCACAATGTATTTTCTTTTGGATATAAAAAGATAATGCCATTGAATGGTAGCAGGTAATTGATGCATCTTGAAATTGTGTCAAAATAAATTAATTTGTTCTTTTGTATATTTTATTAAGTTTATGTAATATTTAAAAAATGTTTTGTTTTAGGAAAATGCTTTGTCTGCGTACAAATCATATATTAAGTATTATGTGCCCGAATACATTGCTTGGATTGAAGATATGTGACGACCCAGTGTATGATTTTACAGTAATACAACATGATGACAGTGTCGATCACTGTGACATTTTATTTCTAACACAATCTAAACACAATCCAATTTTGTATACATTATATCTTGTTTCTTACCCAGGTAAATATATTTATTTTTACGTATAGATAATATTTTGTTTTTTATATAAATTAAAATTTTTATCTTTTTTCAGAATTTGAACAGAAATTGGAGATCAATGTTTCTGCTAACACTTATTTGTCAGACATTTTTCACGCTTCCAATAATATAATTTATGTAGAAGGTATTACTAATGAAAATCAAATCATTGACACATTCAGGATAAAAACAATATCGGAAAGTATTCCCGAAATGCGTTTAGCGAGATTGTTAAGAAAAAAGCAATTTGACGCAGCTGAAGCTTTTGCGGAAAAATTAAGTCTTTCCATGGAACCTATTTATTGCTCTAAAGCAGCGTTGCTCGTAGAACAGCTTGGTCTTTGGGCAAAATCTGCTTCTCACTCAGCCAGCGTGGATGAATTAATAAATATTTTGGATAAGATACAAGATATGCAATACGTGATTGAATGCTGTAACAAGGCGCTCATTTTGAACAGTGCACAAATGAGACAAATATATTTGTATGCTCGGCAAAGGATAATGCAAAATATGAAGGTACATTATATTCGCACATTTATCAATATTCCTGTATTAAATTTATATTACTTGCAGAGGGAAAATATAAGCGATTCGCCGATTGCCAGTCTGTCTTTGATAAACGATGCTTTACACAGACTCGAGACTTTTGAATTAATCCAAGATATCGAGACAGATGCATTATCGAGCGATGATGCAGTTACGAAAGAATGGATAAGATTTTCACAAGTAAATTTATTGAAGGAATGCACTACTCGTTTACGCATGGTAACATGATTTATTTACAAATACATTATGAGAAATCTATGTGTGAAAATTATATTTTTTATCGCGTTTGATATTTTTACAGGGTCAACTGGAATCTGCTTCTTTGATTTGGACGAGGCACCTTCCTCACATAGCGAAGTTTGTGTCTATGCAAACTGTACGAAATATATTTGCGATTTTACCCGAAGATATGGCTCCGTCGCGTTTGTGGTCTTGGCTTACGCATTTTATACCCACTTTATTGTCTCTGTTACCTGACGCAATGGATGAGATTATGTCTTGGGGTCTGAAGAAATTAAAATATCTCGAGATATCTCATCGTACGGGATGGCCGGATATCGGCATAGATTTTGCCAAAAAATTTGTAAGATTGCTCAAGATTGAAGACAGTGAACATTCTGCGCACTTTCACCAAGAATACAGATATCAGAACTCCGCATTGAAGCAGCTTATGCTCTTACTTCAGGCTTTGTCCGACATACAACAGTTGAAAGTAGCTTACAGGTCAGTAATGCATTTTTACATGTCGGTATTGCATTTTTAAACTTATGAATTAATGACAAATATTTTTAATTGCGAATAGATTGAGAATTCCTCTTGATATATATGTTAACTCGCCTGTGGAAACGGTTTATATGCTGTTGGACAAAATACATCTGGACGAAATCTCGAATTTCGTAAATGCATTTTTAAAACAATACATACTTAATAATAATTTGCAAAACGACATTGTTCTCTGCGCGTATATTCAGGTTAGTATAATTTTCTCACCGTATTGAGTTTTATAAAGGCATAATTAAAAATAGTGTACATCTTACAATGTTGTATCTCTTTTTGATAAATTATAACCAATCGATTCTAATATCTTATGTTTTTAGAAAACAATAATAAATTCGAATAGTTGGTGGTTTGACGAGGAAGTCGCATGGGAGAGAAGAATTGCTATTGTAACAAGTCTTATATATAATATAGAGGTGAATACGTAGGATATATCACTTTCTATTATAACTTAATATCATTGAAAATTATCCTTTTATAAATTGTTTCATTGAATGTTTCGCAGAAACGGTTGGAGCAAACTTTGGCAATTTTAAAAAAGGCACCAGTTCCCTGGAGTTCGACTATAGCTACTCTGGCAGAAACGAGCAGTAATTTTGACCATAGTTTAGCTGCAAAAATTAAAATTGAACGTAATTACGTTTCGATAAAACTTGTCTTAAAAAAATATGGATATGCAGCAATTGGCATAAATAACGTTAGTATGAATTATGTTTTCTGTGACGTTTTTATATAGATTAATTATATTAATGACAAATTATCTGTGTGTGTACATTTTTAGAAATTAATATCACGTATAATAAAAGAAGACCGTGATTCCACGATTAATGATATAGAAGTGCTAACTAAAAACGATCAGCAATTACGACAGGATTCATTTTGTCGATGCATAAACGTCCGACTGAACGAAGGGTATTGCGATATATATTATATATTTGAAATTTATACAAAGAAAAAACTTACCAATAAAGTATGTTTGTTTAATCTATTACAGAAATCTGCAGAAAGCAATGGATATAATACATCATCTAGAAAATAATATTTCTGATGCTTTATATTGTTACGAAGGAATTGTTAATTATATTGTCGCATCTTTCTCTTTTCAAGTAATGAATTTTGATACAATATTAATCAATGGAAATAAGATTTCTGTAAAATATAACCAATTTAATTTAACATTTGTTTTCAGAATGTAGCGACATCCTTGATGTGCCATATAGAAATACTCGGCTGCTTAGAATTCAAAATACGTAATTTGTTAATGCAACCGAATGTTTGTTCTTTTCGTTGCAACAATATTATCAATATGATAAAAGATTTAAGATCATTATACGCATTGAGGAAAGATTATAAGATTGATATTTCATTGAAGAATTATCGTATGCAGAAATCGCTTGTACTGGAAAACTATATCGCAAAATCGCTTCCAAGTAAAATCTTTTAAGAATTTCAATTTTATAATACTTTTAAAAGAATATTCCATTTATTCTCGTTGCTTCAACAGGTATGATGGAAAATAACTTGTCAGAGATGCACAAGACAGTGATTAAAATAACCGAGTTGCTAGGACTAGAAAAGTCGTATGCGACTTTATTTTTATTAGAGCAGGTGAAAGATATAAACGTGTTGCAGCAACTTGCCAAGTAAATATGCATTTTATGTACAATTTTTGTGATTTTACATATATGCATAGTATTATTTATCTAGTTTTCCTGTTTCTTCCAGAGACAACGCTGAAGATTTAAATTTTATGTCAGGCGAATTTATAAATATGAAAAAGATATGCTTATCGGCATTGCGACATACTACTGTAAACGTGAATACCGTGAAGGTTATCAAAAACTTCAGCGCTTCTTTATTAGAATCTTGTAGCGATAGTATGTATAACGTTTTTATTAACATGATTAAAATGGTAAGCGAAATATTATATTATTGTAAATGTTGCTAATATTTCAGGTGACTTACAATCTGCATTAATACTCCATACGAATATATGTCCAAGCCTTTCTCTTCAATATTCTGATGTAAAACAAGGAATCACACCGCAGTCTAGTTGGAAATTGTACACGATATATAAAGATCAAGCGATATCTTTGGATCAGAGATTATTTGCTTTCTTCAAAGATGCGATATCTCTTTGCTTATATTATTCAGATCAGATTGATAGCAATGAAGTCACAAATTACAACGTGTGTATTGCGAGTTACATGTGTAGCCCCACATCTCGAAAATACTGGGTTGTGTAATAAGTAATTTCGTATTTTTCAAATCCGTCTACTTTTTTTTTGTATTATTGCAGGCAAAGCGCAGTTTGACACGTAAATAAAATATTTGTTTGTCGAATTTGTAATGAAGTTCCGCTTGTATCACGATTTTTTCACGTTAAAAGTAGTAACAGCAATACGAAATTACTTATCACACAATCCAATAGTTTGCAATATGTCGATATTGTTTGTTCATGCGCAGGAACGAATGGATCAATTGCTCAACAACTTCCTGGAAAGTATAAGAAAAGTGCAGCTGCAGCACAACGATCACTCCTTATTGCAAATTTTCAACACATTCTATTTTGTGTACTGCAGCACATCTGTAAAAAACGAGAGCGTGCTAACAGAAATGAAATCTATATTATCTCAACTTGTCACAAATTTATTGAAGAAATTGTGCACCGGGCTGTTCGATTTGCAATTGGGACTATCTTGTCTCTTTATGCTGCCTAAACAAGAGGCGCGCAATTGGCTTACCGCGGATTGCGCATCGTAAGAAAATGAACTGTTTTTCGATACATCGCGCCTATGTGTAATAATGTACAAAGATTCGGATTTGCAGATTTCACATCGATCACGGTTGGTATTCTACAATTTCCACTCTGGGATATGAATATTCGCGTTTGAAGAAAAATCAATCGTTGATGCAGAAGTTCGAAGATCACAAGCTGTTGCACATCTGGGCGCAGCGACTGTCGCATTATTCGATAGCTTATAAAGGTACGTGCTTTAGTTGCGCCTATTTGTATTAAACGAAGAGATAATATCTACGTTTTTAATATATATATATCGTGCGTATTTTTACAGAAGTTTTTATGAATAACGCTTCGAGCAAGAGGGAAATTTTGCAACAGATTATAAACAGTAACAAAGAGAACGTGATTCCTTTGTTAAAAGACTATTGCTGCAATTTCGGCTTTGATTTCAACGATTGCCTTTGGCATTATTTGAAAATAATCCTCGAAACGTGGAATCCAATGATAACTGTTTCGAATACAGGCGCAAACAAAGGTAAATGATATAAAAAAGAGATATTTATAACAAACTTTCAGGTATAAATAATTTTTATGTAATAACCGAATGGCATTTTGTAGAATTACACGTCTGCACCGATGAAGTGTGTGAGTTGAGAAAAAAGTGTAACGCAATTGTCGCGCAAATGGAAGATAAATCCATGTTGAAACAACATATCTCCACATTATGGGACCATGTAAGTTGTAGAGAATAAAGAAATATCAAGCAGCAATAGCTTCTTCATGACACAAATGTCGCATTTGAATTCAGATCACCTTCTACCACTATGAAATGTTCATCATACTAATGGATCTCATAGGAGATAAAAATATGGAAAGAAGAAATTACCTCTGCTTTTTGCAAAACTACACTCGGAGTGGGTAGGTGCAAAGTCACCCAAATTTTGCGTGTACTTTGATTTTGATAATTACGTGTCTCAGGTCTCCTACGCCGATGGAACATGATAAATGGATGCAGCTCAATCCGGGACACAGTGCACTACCACCGATAGCTCAATGGAGACTTCCGTTCTTGCCCAAGGTGGACATTTGGAAAATTATCAGTACGTGTATTTAGAAGAGAAATTTTTAGCCGGCGTATAACTGTTTCGTCTAACTTCATCAATTTCTCGCTAGCGCCCGAATTGAATTTAAAGACGTACGAAAAATGGCTCGACATCGCACCCGTCCTCAATTTGGAGACGCATCTTATATGCACATTAGCTATCAAAGGTGAAATGACGTACGTTTGGGAAAATACCGTCAAATCGCGAGATACCGCGTGGTCGCTTTATCCGAAGAACACCACATTGCTCGAGAATATCAAGAAATGTATACAACGAATCACCGACTCGAACGGATTCTATTACGGCACCGCGGCATTGTACTACGTCGTCAATCACACACCGCCGGGTGCGGATCGCGTCGCTGCCGTGAAAGAATGCCACGAATACGCTCAACTGGCGGCGCAAAATTCTACCCGGTTTGAAGAGGGAATGCTGGAGGTAGTTTCTGCAAACTGCGTAATTTGCGCTATTAAAGAAACCTACATTTTTTTTATTTTTATACCGCGTTCACTTTCAGAAAATTAAATCCAAGTATCTGAGATACACGTCCGAGCATATTCTACGAACGTACGGATTGGAGAAGGATAAGTATCTTGCTCTAATCGACAATCCGTGCAGACTGATATACGAATTGTACAACGACGAAAGCATACCGTCGCGATATCAAATCGCGACCAACTACAGGCCGGATATCAACGCTGCCGTTAACAAGCTCGGCGAATTGTTCTCGTTGAATAAGACGAAGCTGCGCTTGGATTTGCTACAAGAATGGTTACAGTCCAATGTCAGATACGCCGAATTGTATCAGAGCTTTACGGAGACGGTCCCGGCGTTGAAAGAGTCCAGTCGGAGCACAGATTGTGAAGATAATATGCTCAGGTAATTTAATCGTCGGTGTTGCTATTGTCGACAATCGAAATTAATCTCATGACACTTGCAGAATGTGTTACATGATCGAATATGGCGATACAGATTTGTTTGCGCAGTTTCTTATAAATATAGGCTTCGACGATCCCCACGGCAAAACTGAATACAAATGCGACGTGCGATATCGAGTGCTTCGGGTACTGCAAACTGTTGTTGACACCGCCACTTTGGAAGAATTGACCAAGCGAGACGTCTCTACTTTCAGGTACAAGGCGGATTACGATGGACTATCGTCTATGGCAATTTGTCTTACTGCTGAAAGAGTAATTTTATGTTGAATATTTCAGGAAGTACATGAACTCGCTAAATTATGTTAGCAAACTGGAATCGTTGGGATTGTGTTATAGCGTTGAAACATTCGAAACGTGCTGCAAACGCGAGCTCGTTCAGATACTGTGGACAAGATTGCGTCACTTGCCCTACGCTCTCTCTGTTATAACACAGATTTGCATCGAGTTTAAGTTGCACGATATTGTAGTTTGGAACGACACTCTGAGCCAAATGACAAAACTGCGAATGGTATTGAAGTTACAGTCAATCGGAATATCACCTCAAACTGTATCTTAGAAGAAATTGGCAGAAAACAGGCCGAACAAGTGCCAAAGCGCGAATGTCGCGAGAAAAGTTTATCTTGTCACTAATTTGTATTAATTGATAATTTTTTTCTTTTTTTTGCGCCTCGACGCTTTCTGTGGTTTTTTTTCTGCCGATTCTTTTTGTTATTACAGAGTCAAGATATCAATATGTCAATCTTGAAAATTGTATGAAGGGTACATTTTTAGGTGAGCGAGTTAAAGAAAGTCTTATTGCAACTACGAAGTGAGAGCGCTATCGTGTGCTGTAACGGCTACAAAATGGGATGGCAGTTAATTATTTCCGAACCGTTCAGAGAAATGGATGTGAATCCGAGTCCGGAGCAAATTAACAATTGTATAGAGGCGATCTGCCTATTATATTCGTGTCCCATGCCACACGAATTAGAATTCACCGCTGTCGTGCGAAATTCTTTTCAATGCAAACAGGCGCACTTGGCCGCTGCGCTCCTGCCATTTTTAAATGATTCTGAAAAGAAATTTGTTTTGGAGGTAATTAAATTGTCTTCAATTTGTTCGATATGTAACGCAGTAATTATACGTCAACTTTCTTTCAGACGATTAATCGACAATGCGAAATCGCAAAACTCGAAGAAGACTTACGTCATTTATCTACTAAAGGAGTGCTCACGGTTGCACGTGTAAGTTGTAGTAAATTTATTGCAGTATAGTTAGATATTATAGAAATTTAAGCATTTTGAGAAAATAATTTATTTTATTCTTGTGAATATATCGATTAATTTTATTATTTTTATGTTTATAGAGTCTCGGCATTATACAAAAGTCCACAACGTGAAACAAAAAAGGAATTCTTCTTTTATTGGAAAACCAGCTTGCAATATGACTTATTTGTTAAACTATTCTCAAGTTATATCAAAGAAACGTATTTTTTTGAAATTATTTATACTGCGCTAAGTGTAATTGATATACTGATTGTAGAAATAAATAGATATAATTGATTGATTACATAAAAAAATTATTAAGTGTATGCATTTATCCTGATTTATTTTCAGATATGATATTAACGTCGACTTCTTTTTATACCTCAGATTATTGGTTTAAATTTCGTATTACATAATTTTATTTTTATTTACTCAATAACAGTTTTTAATGCTTTAGATTCAATTTTGAATACTCGTATTAAAATAAAGAATATTTTATGCGTTTGAATGTTTGTTAAAACGCACTTTGATAGTTATTCGTCTACGTAAAAAGATAATTTTGGCGTTTCTTAATAAAATAAAGGATGTATTGAGTGAATGCAAGGGTTTTGATGGGTTTCGTGATAGAAAAATGGACTAAGTAATTTTATTAAACTGGACACTACGCGCGCCATTTATTTTTTTAGTTACAAAGAATTATTTACTATAATTATGTTTAATAAAAATAATATCACCATTATTTATATATTATTATATCATTATTATTGTCGCAATTTGTAGCACTATATTTAGCGTTATTTAACATAAGTCCGGCTATTCACGTGCAAAAATGTGTAAAAATTACTTAAACTTGTGATTAGGTTATTACATAAATGTATATAGTGTAAAATAATTCGAAAATAAATAATTGGACCGAAGTGAGCATTTATATTAAGTCGATATAGTTGCATCTTTGACATACTTAAGAAAAGATTTAAATAAAAAATTCGGAGAAAAAGTATCGAGATTCAAAGAGAAGACTTTTCATACCATCCAATGTTAAACTGCTTCCAATGTTTGATCGATAGAATTCCATCTTTTGCGAACCGCGTCGTACCTTTCTTGTAATCATGGTAAAATTAACGACAGACGTCATCGAGAAAAAATATTCTCAAATATTGTCTAGTAAATCGCTCAGTAAAACGATGAAAAAGGAGGAGTTATGGAAATTGACTCATTTATACATGAATGACATGTTCATCAACAGCATTGTAAGTTACATCGACTTGACGAATTGTGCGATCTACATTTGATATGAAATTTCATTTGTACATAGGACGACTTAGCTGTTTGCAGAAGCTTGAAGACCATTTATCTTCAGAATAATAATATATCACAAATAAAGAATTTACATTTTGCCAGCAATTTGACACACTTGTATTTACAACACAATGCCATAACGAAGCTGGAAAACTTGGGATCTCTGCAAAATCTGCAAAAGCTTTATTTAGGACACAATAATATCACCATAGTCGAAGGATTGGAGAATATAAAGAAGTTACAAGAATTGCATATCGAGAGTCAAAAGATACCACTTGGTGAATCGTTGTGCTTCGAGCCACGCAGTGCTTTTACTTTATCTGTGAGCTTGATAAGAAATTGAAGACTTTTCAATCGTAAGGATTAAACGTTGAAATATACATTTATCACAATTGTGTTTTCAGATGTGTCTAAAATTTCTTGATATTTCGGATAATAAAATGGCATCCTTGAAAGATTTATCAAGATTTCACGAATTAGACACATTGGTGGCAAAAAATAATCTGATCGACGATGTAAATGATTTAACTGCGACGATAAGTACCTTAACTTCCTTGAAGGATCTGTCTTTGCAAGGCAACCCCGTGACATGGTCTTACAGATACAGAGAAACTCTGATTGCCAACAGTGTTTCATTAGGTAAAGTCACGCTAGTTTATCGTTGTGTTCATTGCTCGATTATCAGTTTGCTTTACAAACAGCTAATCTCGATGGAAAAATTGTGACTGACATTTGCCGAAGTTTTATGAAAAGATTTCAAATGGAAAAGTACAATCGACTCACAAAGAAGGCAACTAAAACCTTATTAAAAGACGATATAACAAGTATGTTATATAAAAGTGCATTACAAATGGATATTTAGATAAGAACAACACCTGCAGGCAGAAAATCTGTTACAGGCTCCCTGAATTTATCGGCGGCTTTCAAAAGATCTATTTCCAGAGCAATTTTTCAGCATCCTGGACCACAATTGTCTATAACAATTGCCTCTGGAGAAAATCAGCTACAGGTGTTTCCGCCTTGGAAATCAGGTAATAAAACACAATAAAAAGATACAGATTTACTATTCATTAATATCATATTTTGCATGTGACATTAAAGCATCGGGCATCAAAAGTATCAAGGATAATCATGTAATGCCGAGGCCATTCTGGAGTAACGTAACTAAGAGAAAAGAGACTCGTTTAATCCGCTCTAACGATGAAACAATTGCATTACCCCTTATTTAAGCCTTTTTACTCGAACAACAGTAAAATAAACGTTCCGAAAAAAGCACCTGTCAATCAAAGAACATTTTAGACGCGTTAAAGAAGATTTTATCAGCAGAATTGTCTTGTAAAAATAATTGATAAAAACGTAAGTAATAAACTATACAAATACTAAATTTAAAGAGTTTTCTTCATCGTAAATCATACTTTATTTTATTATCACTATTTTTTTTTCAAAAAATTGTGATAATAAAAAGTTTAAAAAGGTTTCATAGAGTATTTTATCTCTTATAGCTTTATATATACATATGCATACGAACATAATTACTTTTATTCTGGAAAATTATATAAAATAATCATAATCCATTGTAGTTCTTCATATAATAAACTCAAAATTGTATTAATATCAAATATGGATTCTAATTATTTAATCGCTGCCAAATACTATACAGTTGAAATAATAATTGCTATTTAACCATATATATAAATTTGTAATTTTTATCGATTATATCATTCCATTATAGAATGTAAATAAAATATGATTAGAAATATTGCAATTTATATACTCGCATTGTGACAGTAAATAAAATAATACAAGAAAAACAATTGTATGAATTATAATACCATATTTATAAAACTTTCTAGCAATAAGACTACATTTACATTACTTTCGTATACGCTAGAGAAATATTTTGCCACAAAATGTAAATGGACTTTTTTTGTAATGCATGTATTAAATAAAATCGTGTTAGTTACAAATAAATGTTAGCGTAAATTTGCGCGATACAAAAGTTTCAGGTGCAATAAAAATATTAACAATCTTGAAGTTAGGAATAACTATTTAATATTAAATATGCAATATAATATTTCTAATAAACTGAACAACAAAAATGCCAAAATATAAACTTACCAGCTATATTTGTACGCTTAGGATATATACATTGTTTATATAAAGCTTACTTTGTATAGCTTGTTTTAAGTTAGTGCAATAAATTGATTTGTAAAATTAACAAAAGACAGTTTGTATTTGAGAAATCAGTATTTGGATTATGTAATATTTTACTGATTTTAAATTATGTTGAATTATACTGTTATTGCATAAGTATATATATGTATTTTTCCAAATAGACTTAATATAAAAGTATAGTATTCTTAAAAAAAAGACGGAATAAATTAACAAAAATAATACAAATATGTATATATGTTAGTCATTGCAAGCATGGAATGTTAAGATGCAATACAAAACATAAACGTCTTATTATCTTAAATAATAAAGAGAAAGATATAAACCGAAAAATAATATGCAACTTATTCAAATATTAACTCATATAACCTTCGGACATTTGAAACTGTGATGCACATATATATAAAAATAAGAAACCAAGTAGTAATTATTTCACTAACAATTATTAGAAATTAAAATCATAGCATAGTTCGTTCGAACGCATCTGTAGACGTGGCCTTAAGACGATATAAAATATAACGAAATGCAATAAACCAATATATATTTTGTGGCACGCAAACAACTCACCCTTTAGAGCGGCCAGTGTTATAAAATCTTTTCTGTAAATGGGCTATGATTATCCTTTGTTCTATATAAGATTAAAGTGACGATGTTATTCTATTTAAATAGTAGATATAGATACATTTTAAATAAAAAGAAACACTCTAATCAGTATTTTACATATCAACAGAAGATATAAATATTTATTATAAGCTGTAGTAACAAAATAAAAGTAATAGGTAAGAGCATAAACTAAAAGAACCAAGATAGTGTTCCAAATTCTTAGAGATGCAGGATAGACAATCTATATTCTTTATAAAAGTATAAATGTATACAAATAAAAAAATGCCTTAAGAAAGCCTGGAAGTACATTTCAATATATCTTTAAACAAAAGTATTAATGTAGCATATCCTCAATGGACAAAAGGATGTATAATTGTTTTACTTTAACTGAGAAAAAATGACACATTAAAGAACAAAGGTATAAACAAGCCTCGTAAAATGCAATGCATAGTCATAGGCTGGTCTTTTCACTTAGAAGCACTTACGTAAATTAAAATGAGTATAAATAGCTTTTAGAATTAAAATGCACCATTTTTTTTGTCAAAATCCGCGAATCAGATTTATTTTGCTTGTTCAGATCGCCATGTCAATTGTAGTGGAACGTAAATCGCTAAACTAATGAAAGTTCATGTAAAATTGTAGTTCTAAAACTACACAGACTACAGCTAAGTTTAGACATATACGCTGACCAATGCATCTCATTGCTCTTGGTATAAAGTTATACATATATATATATAATATAATA